TGAGGGCGTACTTTAAAGTTTCGACTTTCCCCGACCGGAATCAATCAAAACGAACCTAGTTTATTCATTGCGTACAAAGTGTAAGTAGATGAACAACGTGATGATGGATTAAGCGAGGGCAAGATACCCCACATCCATTTGATTCAATTAAATTATTCAAACTGTGGGATCCAATCAAAACTATCCCCGAGAAAATTTATCGGCTTTTATAGAAGGGAAATATTTTATCGGTTAATCGAGTTAAAACGTATTTTTTGTAATAATTGTTATTTCTCAAATTCATACACAATGGAACGAGAACATGTTAAATGGACATTTAGCCAAATCTTTTCTTCTGGAAAATTGAATATAATAGTTTCAAAAACACATGTCAGGCCTTTCACTGAAAGTGATTTTATTTATTATTTTTATTGCCCCGGCTGCACTAAGTTTTTTAAAATTTACATTTTTTTTAAATCGACTTGTTCTTTCGTTTGCTTGAAGGTGGTAGACACTGATTCAGTAGAAATACTAAAAGGATGTCGAACTTCCATTGTCTTTATTTTTAACTTACACAACGTTTCGGACAGTTGTATCACTACCCGTTATCAAGTGTAAACTAAACATATTTCTAAGGCTACACGGCTTATATACTAGGCGACGGCGCTCATCCATGACGGAGTCGGGTGTAGTCAAGCGTGAAGTTGTTCAACTAGGACGCCAGCATTGGTGCGCCTTATTAGAGGTTGCCAAATTGTTGATATGTCCACACTTGGATCGCTGAAGATGTTTTCACTGTTTCTAATGAAAACTGCTTCTTTAAATTTGCGCTTTCTCCAATGCTGCTCTCTGTGAACAACGCGCGCTCTGGACCATTGGATGTTGTGTTGTTTGGTCCACACATGTTCTACCGTACTTGATTTTTGCGTTTCACCCTTCATTGTATGTTTCTTATGTGCTTCAACTCTTATTTTTAGAGGTCGTTTGGCTTCGCCAATATATGACTCTCCGCATTCACAGGGTATCTGGCAAATACACTCTTTCTCTTGAGTCGACGTTTCAGGCTATGTTTTTGTGAGTACACTTCTTAATGTTGATTCAGATTTAAATACAGTTTTAAGTTGAAATTGTTTAGCTATTCGCCCAATCTTTTCCGATATTGCTTTCACGTATGGGATCGTCAAGAGAGAAAGAGTATCTACCTCACATGGTTCCGGTGTTATTTCCCGGTTACAGTTGGTTATTATTTTGTTTATAGATATTTCGGAGTAACTGTTCTGAAGCAAATCCTTTTTAATATTATTCAATTCGGCATTGAGAGATGCTTGGGCGCTACATATTTTGATTGCTCTTTCGCACAGTGTTTTAATTATTCCTAGTTTGGTTGCTTCAGAATGGTTAGACTCAAAATGTAGATATTCTATGGGTAGGTTTCCTATATACAGACGTGTTAATAGAACCATTATTTCTACTTACTAGGACGTCTAGAAACGGTAGGCAGCCGTTCTTTTCTTTCTCAATAGTAAATTTAATTGATGTTCGCAAAGAATAATGAAGATAATGAAGGTATCATCAATATATCGAAGCCACATCTTAGGTTTAATAGTTGCAATGTTTATGGCATGAGTTTCGGATCAGTCCATGTATATGTTCGCTATTACTGGAGAGAGAGAAGAACCCATCGGCAGGCCATCATCTTGTGCGTAAAACTTATCTTTCACTGATAGGGTTGCATCATTCCTTAGTCTAGCCTCGACAATACTTCAGGATTCCTCCAAGGGCACGTTGGTATATAGACTTTCAAAGTCAAAGCTAAGAAACTTGTCTGAAGGATCTAGTTTCATGTTTTTTAGAATATCTACCAAGTGCCCGGAGTTTTTTAGGAACCAAGAAGTTTTACCTACAAGTGGCTGGACGATTTGAAGTAGAAATCTACTTAAGCTGCTGATTGCAGAATCTCTGGAACTAGTGATCGGTCTGAGTGGTACATCATCTTTATGGATTTTTGTGGTAATTAGCTCTAAAAGCATATTGGTAGCTACGACCTGCCCAACAGACCGGTTCATTCGATCCTTCCACACACCAGTTTAAACACAAAAACTAGCCCCACTTGAACTCTACGTTTTCTGAGAGGTCCTGACCTGTAATCTGACGATTAAACTTATATGCACATGATGTCAAAATTTTATGCTGAACTCTTTCAAGGGAATCAATGTTCGTCTAAAATTAAGGTGACCAAATCAAAGAACAATATTGCAATAATGATCTCACTAGAACTGTTCATTATTTATGAAATACCTGTTCTAACTTTTACTTACGAGAAAAACTGATAGCACATTTTTCTATATTTAACTCCAAGTTGTTCCCCAAATTATTTTCCAAGCTTTTAGGTCTACAGCAGAATTTTAAGCATTTGCTATTGATAAAACATGTAACAAAAATATAGAATAAGAGAGGAACACCAAATGTGACATGAATAATATCCGAAAACTACAACCCACCCTCACACATTGCGTCCTGAGCAAACATGCCGCCGCGACATAAAACCAATAAACAACAATATTTTTAATTAAATGCCATGATTCACCCGATCAAATGCTTTGGTGAAGGTATAAATTGAATCTACTTGCTCACTTAATTTATGAAATATTCCTGCTTTAGATATTTTTGTGTAGTTAATGTTATTGCTATAATTATTGTCCACACTGAAGTCTGGTGACTTTAAAGAATAAGGATTTTCAACATAAACGGTGCCTAACTTGATCTTTTTTCATTGAAGAACTTCTAAAAAGATTTTGAATTCTCCCTCAACTGTATATCAATACCTGCTATGTAATTAGAGTACCATACCTCCGAAAACCATTAAGCACGCAACCGAGAAAACCTAAGGGATCTTTCTAAAATACAGACTGACCATGCTTTTTCTGATGTGCAGCACTGCAGCAAACCATTTTGGATATCTGAAAAACCTGAATTCCTTCAGAGATACAAAATATGCTATGCCTGTAAATAAAATAAATTTGTCATATTGCTAATATAACCACAAAGACAATCTGTCCACTTTATGGAAGTAAAATAATTATTGAGCTTTACATAATTAGCATGTCTAAAATCATAATAGAATTTATCATAGGCAATATGATGCAAACTGTACCATAGCGTGCTAATTCTCCAAAACTAGAAAAGACAAGATTTAGAAATACATTTGTATTATTTGGAATGCTGTTGCAATGAAAAAGTTTTAAATAACCAAATGACTGTACAACAAAATGACCCGAATCTCCTGGAGGACTAAAGGACACTAAAGTGCCAAATTCATTATTAGACCACTTGGCAAATTGTAATCTCCATAGATAGATCTGGCAAACATGTTCTACTAATTCACAATGTAGGACCTATAAATCCCTTGATGATTGTGGTGGAATATGTAGGTACACCTATAGTGAACTGCTCAGTACCAACGTTACACACCACAGACATTTCATATTACATATAGCCTTGATTGTCTTCCTCGCAAAAATAGTGACTCCACCTCCACTGGACTTTTTACTAGTTCATGCTATACGGTCAGAGTGATAGACAGAAATATCAGCACAATTCAGCTCACACTGTGGGGAGGTATCATTCAGATTGCTTTCCACTTGAAGTTCAATTATTTTGGTGCGGAGACCACTGACATTCTGTAAGTAGACAGCTAATGGGGTAGTTGCGGTTTTTTACTGGTAGTGCTTTAAGGTTCGTTCAATTGTTTAAATGTATGTGGTGCTTGTTGTTTACAATTATTTATATTATGTTGTATTGAACATGTGTAAAATAATTGTATTGTTGATGAGTTCATGACATGAAACAAAACCTGATCTAATCAAATCTAATACACCATTTTTTAGATTACATTTTTTGAAAAAAAAACAAATTTTGGATCATACGATGCATCCTATTCCCAGAGCGCTATGGAGTATTTTACTTACTTGAATAATTGTTATTTCCATATTATTATTACGTACTATGCTTATTAACATGTATGTTGTAAATCGTTTATGCTTTTTAAAATCCCAATGTTGTCCAGAAATATGTTGAATTATAAGATTGGTTCTTTATGTCAGCCACGGACCACAAAATCTAAATTCATATCGAAAATATTATTAACAATACTTTGGTACTTGTAAGCTTGGAGCTAATTACAAATTATTCAGATCGTACAGGTTAAAGCATGCCAGGAACACATATAACTGTGCTAACAATGAAGATGTTTTTATTAGCCTTTTTTTTTGCTTCTTTTAATTAGTTCCATAATAGCTTCAAAAAGTGATATTGCCGAGTTCAGCATGTTGAGCAAAATCTTTAGAAGTTTTAGATTTGTTAGACATCGAGGACCTGAGATAATATAAAATGTTAAAAATTAAAACAGTGTTGTATATTGTATTTAAATTGTATATCCATACATAATACCTGACAATAGATAATTTGGGTGAGTATTTAGTATTTAGCTTTTGTACTACATAAGGAATAAGGAACACAGTGTTCGAAGTGTTTTCGGAGCGCGAGCATTGAAGATGCCAAGTGAGATCTTGGCGAAACGTCTGCAGGATTCCAGTCGGATGCAGGATTCCAGTCGAAGTTCAACGAGCGAACGGATGATATCCCGGAATATAGTGTTATCATATATATATATATATATATATATATATATATATATATATATATATATATATATATATATATATATATATATATATATATATATATATATATACATATAGTGTTCGAATTCCCTCGGGGGCTCACAACTGGTGGGTACGGGCCTGGCGAACCCGAGGTACCCTAGCTGAGTCTCATTCTGTTTCAACTTGTCTTGTTTGGGGCTCTCTCTCCCTTTCATCTTTCCTATCGGCCCCCCTAGGCCAACTCGTGGTATTTTTCCGACCCCGACGCTATTAGCTTGCGAGGGCTAGGGGTCTCTCCTTTTCACCTATTTATATTTCTACCTGGCAGATAGGTATAAAATGCGTTAAAAAACGGATATGTCCAATGGAAGGCAGAAGAGTACGGTGCAAGGTTTCGGATGCCTAGTACCGGTCCAGAACAGGGGTGGTGAAGCAGGCCCCACTGGACCGTCAGCCAGCGACTGCGGCTCACCCTCAGTGGTATTCCAGGCTGAGGAGAGTATTTTTGCTACTGGATACGAAGAGATAAACCCGTTTCAAAGAAGTGACTCCATTCAAAGAACACCACCGAGACGGAGAACTTTCTCGCTCCCAGACGCTAGTGATCTATTGGCCCACCAAACAGAAGGTCCTATCACGGAAAATGCAGCTAAAAGAAAGAGACTGGAGGGAACCCCTGATAACTCAACAAGCAAAAATGTGAACAACAAACAAAAGGACCTTATCCACACCTTAGACAAAGTATTGGCACAGGTAAGAACTATGGAAAGAATAATCAAAGAAGCATATAAACCAAAAAAGGAATACTGTGAGATCAGTGGCAAACTATCCTTCTTAACAGAGAAGCTACGTGCGATGGATATCGAAAAATGGTTGCATGATGTGAGTACAAATACTGAAGCAGAAAAGAAACTTCGTCTAGAAAATGATGAACTGCGAATGCAGGTCAACGCTATGAAAACGGAACAGAACGACAAACGACAAGAAAGATCAGAGACTATAAAATGTGACGCGTGTGCACGGGCGGAAAAAAGAGTTTTGAGACAACAGCAGCTCAAAAAAGAGGAGACTTTCGAGTGCTACCAGTCCATCAGTGAAGAGAACTGGGAAGAAAACGTATTTTACGATTTGGAAAGTATCGAGGGACCAGCGCAAGACACCGCAACGGACTGGGACCTAATTCTGCCGTGTAATACTAAATTGGAGTCGCGCAACAAAGAGATCAATAGAACAATCGACAAATTTGGGGCCAAACATGGTATTATGTCTCAAAACAAGAGAGAAGGTGAAGTTGCCATCATGGTGGGCTTTCCTGACGTTAGTGGAAAATTAGTGCAGTCCACTAGGTGGATATTCTACCCTATCTTGAGCGAAAAATCCACTCAGTCAGAAGTGGGCGACTCAGAGATGTTCGAGGCTCTACGCAGGATCAAAATCCAAGTCATAAAACAGGATAGAACTAATATAGCGATTCTCGATAACGATGAGATCACCGGAACCATAATGACACGAATGCTGCAGTTCTTATTCTGCGATACCCCAGTGCGTATTGCAAAAATTCGACGAGAACAGTACCAGCCAAGCCAGCATATAAAACGCAACAAAGAGACGAATCCGAGGAAACCCAAGGAAGATGCGCTGCTGATAGAAATGAAAGACACGAGCTTTGCGGACCTCCTTAAGGCCGTTAAAACTGCCGTAGATCCTAGCGCCATTGGCGTCGACATTGGACAACTTAGAAAAACAAGAAACGGCCAAGTCTTACTTACCGTCAATAATGGATTCGATCGAGCTGAACTGCTAAAAAGGGAAATTAGTGAAAAGGTACCCGGGGCCACTGCACATTTGCTAAAAAGCAAAAAAGTTCTCCACGTTAAAGACCTGGATGAAGTTACTACAACTGACGAGATCAAAGAGGCTGTTTCTAAGGCAACGGGCACCAACCCCAGTGATGTAGACGTAAGAGCTCTCAGACCAGCTTACGGAGGCAGGCAAAATGCCACCCTAATTGTAAGCGAGGCGAAAGCAGAAAAACTTATCAATCTTAAGACGATAAAAATCGGCTGGACTAGTTGCCGAATTTACGAAAGGCAGAGAGAAGACCGATGCTTCAGATGCTGGGGATTAGGGCATGTCAAGTCGCAATGTAAAGGGCCAGATAGAGAAAAACTATGTCGGAAATGTGGGCACGAGGGCCACAAAGCAGATACATGCTCGAATAAACCATTCTGCCTCCAATGTAAAGCAGAGGGCCATCAAACCGGCTCCCCTAGATGCCCATCAAAAGTGCAGGCGGCGGTAGCGCCAAAGAAAGCAACCGCACCCACACAATCATCAGATTCCTCCAAATAAATACCAACAGAACTCGCGCAGCCCAGGATCTGGCGCTGGCAACCGCGATAGACATGCAAGCAGAAGTGTTGATAGTAAGCGAACCTAATAGAATCGCCATTCAGAATAGAAAGGACTGGATTAAGGATAACGAGTGCAAAGCTGCCATAAAAGTCATTGGAAATAACGTAGCAATTAAAAGGCAGGGAAGCGGTTCCGGATATTGCTTTATAGAAACGGTAGACTTTACCATCTTTAGTTGTTATTTCTCCGGCAACGACGAGATTGATCAACTGGACGAGGCCCTATTTGAAATCGGCAGGATGGTGCAAGGCAACAACGAAAAGGCTATCATTGCTGGGGACTTTAATGCCAAATCTACGGAGTGGGGTATGACGCATACTGACGCGAGGGGCGAAATGGTCACAGAGTGGATGGCCGCCAACGGCTTAATCACTGTAAACCAGGGAAACTCGCCAACGTTTCAAAGCCAAGGCTACGGTTCGATTCTTGATCTCACCATAGTGACTGAAGGCATCAGGATGAAAATCGGACAATGGAGAGTAGTTGAAACAGAAACGTTAAGTGATCACAACTACATAACTTTTGAAGTAAAAAATAGTGACCCGACAGTGGTACGGCAAAGAGAATGCAGAGGCTGGCAAGTCAAAAAACTTGACAGAAATAAGCTTCACAATGCAATCGGGTCGCTTGGCGAAGACGGACCATCGGCAAGAGTTTTCTCAGAAGAGTTGGCAACGCTGTGTGACATCTCAATGCCAAGGAAAAGGAGTTTCAGGAACAAACAGCCTGCGTACTGGTGGAACAGCGAAATAGCGGAACTTCGTAGAGACTGTATAAATAAGCGACGGAAATACACAAGAACTGTCAAACATGGCATTATTCGAGATACACTAAGAACATGGGAGGAATACAGAGAAAGCAAGATAGCGCTCAGAGACAAAATCAAGAAGGCAAAGAAAGAGTGCTGGACGCGGCTCCTTGACGACGTTGATCGTGACATCTGGGGCGATGGTTACAAAATCGCGATGAAGAGCCTTTCTGGATTTCCGCCACGACCTAACCTAAGCATGGAAGCAACAGAGAAGATCGTACGACATCTATTTCCGTGTCATGACGCGGTATCGTTTGCTCGCGACGATGGTGCGAAGCCTGTAGTATTCACCGTGGATGAACTAAGCAACGCTGCTGCGAAACTTAAGAACAAGAAGGCGGCAGGCCCTGGACGGGTCCCGGCCGAAATCCTTAAGGAGCTGGTGGCGACAAAGCCTGAATATGTATTAGCCACCTATAATAAGCTAGCAGAAAAAAGCTGCTTTCCAGCGGAGTGGAAGGCAGCTAGGATGATCCTGCTGAGGAAAGGCGACCACACGCTGGAGAACCCATCGTCCTATAGACCAATCTGCCTGCTGGATGCAGAGGGAAAACTCTACGAGCAACTAGTGATTGCACGCCTGCACAGGGAAATTGAGCGTACTGGTGGTCTGTCGGCTAGGCAGTATGGCTTCAGGAGCGGTAGACAAACAGTTGATGCCATAGCAAGGGTTATTGAAATCTCCAACAAGGCTTCAAATTTCGCGCATGCAAATCGTAGACTGGCGGTTATAATAACTCTTGATGTCCGAAATGCCTTTAATAGTGCCTCGTGGCAATTAATCCTGGAGGAATTAAGAAAGCGCCAAATGGACGAAGGCCTAATAAACTTAATAGCGTCATACCTCTCTGACAGGGAGATCCTACTGGAGGCACAGGGACAGGCAAAGGGGATCGGCATAACAAGCGGAGTACCACAGGGCTCGGTCCTTGGACCCACACTGTGGAACGTGCTCTATGATGGGCTTTTTGCGTTGGAGATGCCAAACGGAGTGACACTAATAGGGTTTGCCGACGACATCGGCATGATTGTGGTAGCAAAGAACGAGGAGCTCCTGATGTGCAACGCAAACACGGCGCTACAGAGAGTTGCGCGATGGCTCGAGCAGAGACGGTTGACCCTAGCGCCGGAGAAAACCAAAGCAGTGTTGCTAACCACAAAACGGAAGATAGGCCACGTTGTTTTCGATGTTATGGGTAGCGAGATTGGCTTGAGTGACGCTGTCAAATACCTGGGAGTGTGGCTTGACAGAAAGCTAAGTTTCGCTGAGCACGTAAAGCGAACTGTGCAAAAGGCAGAAAAAACGACTTCTGCGCTGTTGTGTCTAATGCCAAACATAGGCGGACCAAGATCATCCAAACGGAGACTTCTAGCGAGCGTGGTACACTCTCAGATACTGTATGGGGCCCCAGTCTGGAGCAAGATTACCGAGAATAAGAGACTAATAGCTGTGTTATCAACACTACAAAGAAAGCTATCACTGAGAGTGTGCAGCGCGTACAGAACGGTGTCCACTGAGGGAATTAGCGTAATAGCGGGGATCCCGCCGATAGCGCTACTTATAGAGGAACGGCGGCAAAGATACTCAGGAGCAACAAAAAACGAAGCACGAAATATCCTCCAAACCAGCTGGCAAAAGAAATGGGACACGGGGACCTATGGCCGATGGACACACCAGTTAATCCCGGACATACAACAGTGGATTAATCGCCCGTGTGGGGAAGTGGACTACTTTCTCACGCAGGCTCTATCGGGGCATGGTTGCTTTGGAAAATATCTGTCCGACCGAGGACGCGCCCAGACCAGTGACTGTCAGTACTGCGGCCTGTTGGACGACGTGGAGCACACACTGTTTCACTGCCACAGGTGGAAGGAACAAAGAACTGTGTACTCATGTAAAACAGGTACCAACTTCAACCCGCGCAACATGATGGCAAGCCTGATGGGTGAAGAAAATACGTGGAGGGAGGCGTTCAGAGTGATTCGGACAATTATCGAGACCAAGGAGAGAGATATTAGGGCAAACCGTAGTACATAGGTGGAGAACCTGGGACCGGCCCTTGTACCGAAGTAATGCGTAAGCGGTTTCCGGTACAAAGGTGCCTGCGTGGTAGATAGGGTGGGTTTTTTTAGTCGGTAGGCGGCAACACCACACTCTGTGTGGTGTCTGAATCCGACACAAGGCTAGCCAGTTAAACACCAGGCTAGTATCGTCTTTTGAAGATTTTTTTAGCACCCTCCAAAAAAAAAAAAAAAAAAAAAAAAAAAATAGTGTTCGAAGTGTTTTCGGAGCGCGAGCATTGAAGATGCCAAGTGAGATTTTGGCGAAACGTCTGCAGGATTCCAGTCGGATGCAAGATTTGCAGGATTCCAGTCGGATGCAGGATTCCAGTCGGAGTTCAACGAGCGAACGGATGATATCCCGGAATATAGTGTCATCATATATATATATATATATATATATATATATATATATATATATATATATATATATATATATATATATATATATATATATATATATATATATATATATATATATATATTTATTTATTTATTTATTTATTTATTTATTTATTATTATTATAAGATAACCTTTATTTCTTTGTAAAAATCATTGCAGACCACTACAGTTGATCTTTGCACAAGAAAATCAGCTCCAAACATATAAGAAAGTTGAATAAATCGATAGATAAATTCAGACCTGCAAATCTCACTTTTAACATAAAATTAAAAATATATCCGAAAATTCAATAGTTTATTATTGTTGTCTAGAATTTTCAGAAGAATTCAAAAATTATTTAATATACAGGGAGTTCTAATTCAGATAAAAAAAAGTTGTTACTTCTCATATTTAAAAATAAATCTAAAAAAATGTAAAATATAAAAGTTATAACATATTGTCATGTAGATTCTGTCACCAAGGTACACTGATATACTGATAACTCATAGATGGTAAGAAATAAGGGAAAAACTTTGAACGCAAAACAATAAAAGAATAACAATAAAAAAAATTAAACACGGACTTAAAATAATGTAAGATAAGGATAACTTTAAAAACTGGTTTTTCAAAAAATGATGGCCCTTAAAGCCTAACACAATTTGTCAATGATAATTTTATTGTGAATGTTGTCCATGACCTAAATCTAAACAAACTAAACTAACTTTTGTTGTACAGGGTGTCTGGTTATAGTCTGAAGTTTCATCAGCAAAATTGAAAAATTAAAACAAACGGTTATATGTCACATGTTCTATCAATTTAGTACCGACCAGCTTTTGATTTGTTGTGGAGTTTAGAATTTGGTGTTTTTTTAATTTATTTATTTTTAACGTACAGGGTGTTATTGAAATAGCTCCAAAGATTTGGCATAAAATGCTTGTTGTACCACTGAATCTTTCGTAGAGATAAAAACCAGGAAATAAGGTGTGCAATTGGATCAGGTTGGCAATTGTCGCTGCCATAGCCGTGCTGTTGTGTCGGATAAGATGAAAATATTGCCTTTTTTATCCTATTCGAACAGAACAAAACATCGATTCGGCATCGGGGTAGGATCCACATTCACTTACTAGAGTGTTCAATAACAGCCTGTATATGTTATCAGCTAAACCAGGTTTTAGGTGAAACTAGTTGATCCGTTAGAAGGAAATCATTAAATGCGAGTACACATATTAAGTACTATAAACCCATTTGGTACAGTTTTTGGTTAGTTTCGAATTGAAATTTTCAGTATTTGCTTTTTAATTGATCTGTCTCAGAAATATTGTAGAATAAAATCAGTCGAATACTTGCAACTCTGTGACTAGGGGCTTTTAGTTACAATTCCAATTTAAAAACTCGGTAAACCAAAAACAAAATTTACGTAGAATTGTCATCAATGTTCCCGTAAGTCATTAGGCAGGTTATTTTGTTGCTTAATCTAGTTCCAAAATGAATTTTTGCCTGCCGTTTTCACAGCAGATAGACTAGACGATTTTAGATGGCATATGAGGAAATGCTGCTTTAGGAACGCTCTCCATACTTATCCACCTTGCCGTTGCGGCTGTAATTCTCGTCTAATATTGTAAAGAGTTGGGTAATTGCTCGCTTCGAGCGATCCGTCATAATAGCACGTCGTGTACTCGGTAGCCTACTACGATGCCTGAAAGTGTAATCAAAACCCGTATAAAGGCCACAAAATGATGTCCTGAGAAGAGATCGTGACTAAGTGCGGCTGTAACTCAACACTCGATCGGCTTATGTCGGCGTTATTTTAGATTTGTTGGACCGTATCAGTTCGTCGCTCCGTTTACGGCAAAATTAAGATAATACTGATATATCGACCGAGCTGTCCGATTCAGATAACTTTTTGTCCGACCGATCGAAGCTTTTCGTCGAACTAGGTTATAATCTTTATAATTTTACAGTAAACGCCTGACTAATCGGACACTTAAGGAAATATCTAATTTTCGAATAACCCCGAAAGTAAGTGTTTTAAGGAAACCGTGCAAAATGGCGTGTTGTTAAAGCTTCACTATTATTATTTCCCTGCAATCTACTAAAATTGAGTAAATTGGACAAATGTCTTCAAAAAAATATAAATTATGAGGAAAGCCATGTGTGTCTGTCAAAAAGTGTTTGTTGAACTGAGGTGGCTTTTACTTGATGAAAATCCATTTATCAAAATAAATAAGAACTAAAAGTTCAGATTTTTACGAAATTATATATTATGACATGACAATTGTTTCCACAACACCGTGTCTTTATCAAATGTAATATTTACAAACTACCTGCTACTATATATACCGAAAAATTACCATAAAATCTTAATTTAAGGATCTACCTGTTTGTCCAATATAAATTTTAGGACAAGATCCACATTTCAACCTGTAGACACCTGACTTTATATATAAAATTCACTATCGAGGTTGAACAGGATAAATCTATTAATTTTTTAGACTTAACTATTACAAAAGCGCAAAAAAAATTAGATTTTTCAATTTATCATAAACCTTCACACACGGACACAGTCATACATAACAGCTCAAATCACCCTTATACACGCAAAATGGCTGCATTTAACTCTTTTATACACAGACTTCTTAATACGCCACTCTCAAAAGAAAATTACAACAAAGAACTTAATATCATTAAACAAATTGCACTGAACAGCGGCTACAATCCGTCCATTATAGATAAAATTATAAACAAAAAACAAATACAGACAACAGTAAACTCTATTTATCCGAAACCTAATACAGAACACGAACAATTTAAAACAATTACATACATAGGAGAACCTAGTGAAAAAGTTTCAAAACATTTGTCAAAATGTGGTTTAAAAATAGCTTTCAGAACTAACAACCCAATAGGAAAATATTTTTTAAAAAATAAATCGAAATGTCCAAAATCCCAAAAATCAGGTGTCTACAGGTTGACATGTGGATCTAAAATTTATATTGGACAAACAGGTAGATCCTTCAAGAAACGCATTAACGAACATATAAGAGCGTTTAAAAACAATAGTCTAGATTCTAATTATGCTACACACTTAAACACAGAAAAACACATTTTTGACGACAATTTTGATATATTACACACAGCCACAAAAAGTAGAAAATTAAATTTATTGGAAGCCATGGAGATTAACAAACTGAGACATTCAAATTTATTGAACTTTCGCAACAACATTAAGGTTTTATGGTCATTTTTCGGTATATATAGTACCAGGTAGTTTGTAAATATTACATTTGATAAAGACACGGTGTTGTCGAAACAATTGTCATGTCATAATATATAATTTCGTGAAAATCTGAACTTTTAGTTCTTATTTATTTTGAAAAGTGTTTGTCTTATTTATCGGATTAGGTGCGCAGTATTTGTCGGAGATATAATATTTTGTGTTTTAAAATGAATCATTTAAACAATCATAAAACAATGTTGTCTTTTTTTAAATGCATGTATCAATAACGCACAAAAATAATTTTATCAAAAATGATAAAATATCACACACTACTAAAGTTTGGGTCAATTTCGAGCGACTCGATTTGGACATGTTTGTTTTAAGTTGTAGCTAAAGGCTCAGGAATGTTAGATAAAATATTTTTATTCACATTTAAATTTTACATATGTTTAGAGCATTTAAAGAAAAACCATGTCTATACTCATTGTTTGCCTCATCCAATCTAGTTTTTTTATTAACGTAACAATTACAGTTAATAAATTAATTAACCAAATAATAAAAAATTATACAAATAAAAGTCACTGTCGGGTATTTCCTCCCCCACTTATAACCGATTGACATCGACAACTCATAGTTTGAACCAGACATTTAATTTGAGCTTGATTGATATTTTTTACTTTATATCTGCATCAACGAACTAGTAATCCCAATACATCTAATAAAGTCAATCGAGTTACAGTAAAAATCAATAAAATTAAAAGTAAAACTTAAAACCTATTCCGACCTATAACAAAGACTTAACACATTAAAAATACTATGTTATCATTACCACCACCATTACAAAAAACCGCAGTAATAACTAACATTAACAAATCACAACCACAACCTGCAATAATTAAATTTGAAGAATTCATATCTCCACTTAAACTGCAAATATTAATGAATATTAACTGCCCCATTCGACGGTCTATAAAGCAGTCTAATTTATCGGAACTTTGGTCAGCCAGTGCGCTTATTTTGAGAAAGAATCGCTCCAAAAATTTGCCCTGTGGGGAAGTATAAGTAAAGAAGGTGCCTGACGGATATGTCTACCAAAAACTTTTAGTCCAATATTTCCGATGCTTTTGGCGGCTAAAAAGGTTCACCTCGGTCTCAAGCTCCCAATTAGTCCATGTTTCCCGGATAATGCTTTCTACATCATCCGAGAGGCAGTGAGGTTTATGATCTCTAAGCTACCTACTCATTTGATCCCACAAATGTTCTATTCTGTTATGGTCCGGTTTGCATAGTGGCCAGTCCAAGGTCTCAATTTTACACTATTCTTGCATAATGTGGTCTGGTATTATTAAACTCGTCTTGTAACTAACCAAAACTTACG